TCCTGGTGCTAGAATTTAGACGGATTACAACATAGCAGGGTCTGACAGTTCTAAACCATTCTCCATTTTGATGCATTCTTTGGCATTTTCAGGTTTTTATCCATTACGGTTATTGTTTAGGGTTGTTAGAAGGATTGAGACAACATGTGTAAAACAATTAGAGCTGTTGGCCTTAATCATCGCTAGATAAATGTTAACTGTTATTTTGTTGTACAGGCACTAGAGTTTTCCATCTCTGCATAGCAATTTGTCACATTCCTATCTTCTTCACTAATCTTGGTTTCTGGAGTAATAAACAATTTATTGTTTAAATGGCTGCCGCCTCTTCTTTTTTCTACTGGTTCTTCTTGCTCAGAGAGCTGCCTGGGGGATTGTTAAGGCATAAGCACCTGGTTGATGCTTCCTTCTCTCTCACCCCTGCAGAACTGAGCTCCTGTCTCTGTCAGCAGCCGTTCCCACTGTTGCCAACACAGATTCTTCTCTCTTCTGGGCTGCTTCTTCATGTTCCTATTTCTTCTGGTCTCTCCCCGAATTTTTGTATCATGTTCAAATAGCCTGATTTTGTTGATAGTGATTTTCCTTTTTGCTAGCACATTAGTTAGATCTAGATCTGGATTTTTTTTTTTTTTTGCAAGCTTATTTGGTTAATGGGTTCTTGGAGTTCTCGTTGCTGGTTTTGTGTGTGTGTGTGTGTGTGTGTGTGTGTGCGTGTGTGTGTGTGTGTATATACTATGTACATATTTTAGTATACTATGTATATGTTTAATTTATATATGCTGTTTGTTTCCTTCCAGGGAATAGGAGAGAGGGAGCATTTAGGTAATAGTTTGGAATAGGTAATAGTTCCTAATTTGGAACTATTTGAAAAAGCTGGACAATAATAACAACAATAATAAATATTATTATCCACATCACCACCACAATGAGAGCATTAACAATGAAAACAACCACGGCAGTTCTTACTATGCGTTAGATGTTGGTCAGAGTGATTTATACGGATGATCTCAATCACATCTCACACTATCACTGTGGGAGTAAGACAATATCCCTACCTGAAAGGTGAGAAAATGCAGGTGTGGAGAAGTTAAACACTGTGTTGAAGGCCCGTAGCCAGCAATGGCAGGGCCGTTCAACAGGCAGTCTAACTCTAGAACCTACACTTGTTAACCAGAGACCAAGATTTCACTGGGCAGTTAGTCTAGCCTTAGTATGTCAGACAGATTCAAAGAGGCGATCACCGTAATTTTTTTTCAATTAATCAGCATAACACAGTAAGCACACATTTCAGTTTGTTGAGTCATCTGGGTTATTAGAATATTTTTTCTAGTGTTATGACATTTTAATATTATGTATATCTACTACCTTATATTTTAAAGGTGAAAAGATCTCAGAAAAAAAGCTAAGTAAAACACTCTCAAACCACTAAAATACATAAGCTTCATCTAGTTCCAAGTATTTTTTTTTAAGATTTTATTTACTTATTAATGAGAGAGATAGAGAGAAAAAGAGGCAGAGACACAGGCAGAGGGAGAAGCAGGCTCCATGCAGGGAGCCCGACATGGGACTCGATCCGAGGACCCCAGGATCACGCCCTAGGCTGAAGGCAGGCGCTAAACCGCTGAGCTACCCAGGCTTCCGCGATTCTAAGAATTTTTAATAGCTCTAAGATGAGAACGATATAAGCAAAAATCATTCTTATTTATTCATTAGGGATAAAAGAATTGGGAGAATTTTGGAAATAATGTAAGGGATTATAGAAATTTTTATATTGAAAAAGATGTACTGAGAAGACACTCAAAGGCCAATAGACTCCCACAACGGAATATACAAGATCATTTAATAACAGTAAAGCATTTTTCATAATGCATTTAATATTTATGAAATACATACTAATCAGAATTTAATTATTTATCTAAATCTGGCCATAAGGAGTTTATAGCATATTATATATCATTATCCATCATCACGCTACCGTGTTTCAAGATAATAGCATATAATTATCTGGCTTGATCTGTGGAAGTCATATTATATCTAATAATCTAAAATTGAGTCAAGTGCCATTATAGAAATATCCATATAAAATATCTCAGAAATGGAAAATGGGTTCTGAAATCCCACTGGAAAGGCCATCCAACCAAAGGCTGCACAAAAACACAAAAAAAAGTTTTAATGCAACAACCAATATGCCCAGATGCAGTGAAACCAATGGGTAGAGAAACAATGTTATATTTGGTGCTGCACGTGTCTGGACTTTTAAAAAAAATAGACAGCTTTTCCCTCTCCAAACTAACTGTATTTTCCCGTTTCATTTCCACACTTCTCTCTATTCTAACACTATGCTTAGTCTCTGACAGCTGGTTAGCCCTCTTAGGAACTATTTCTGCCGCATAAGCTTTCAATCTGAGAGAAGAGAAAGAATAAAAAATAACTTTCAAGGGCATTATTTCTCAAACTCTCTGAGATACAAGATCAGTCCCCACTCCTACCCCCAAACCTTCTAGAACAATTTATCAAAATACAGTAATAATGAATTACCAAAGAAGGAGATGAAAAAAGAAAGAGTGTAAGTCCCATTTCTTAATACCATTATTTGATTTAACCAACATGAGATTTACTCTTGACCTACTGTAAGAGTTTCTAAACACTTTACTTGAAATTTCTGTACTTTGCTCATTGTGGATGGGTAGCCAACAGGCTGCCGATGGGCTTGGGCCCAGGTACCACACACACTGTGGTAGCTCTCCTCTCCAGAGGGTGCTTCCTGTTTCCTTCTGACCTTTAGGTCCCAAGGATCTTCTCCTCAAGGGGACCTGAATGCCCATCAGAGAATGGAACCTACCATGGTGCCCCATTTATTTCTCTCATAGCTCTTTGAAGCCTCTGTCCTTCACAAATGAAAGCTCTACATGCAAACAGACCTTGTTTGTCTTATAATCTGCTTCATTACTAGGGCCTAGGACTCTTAAATTCATTAATAAACTCTCTTCATCACTTTTCCTTTTTATTCTTTTACTCAACTGATATTCAGCACATGCAGAAACATAATTCTTTCCTAGGGCAGCTTTTAAAGTTCTGGAGTCAGGCAAACAGTAACACCCCTCTAATACATACTATCTGTTGTAAGACAACTTTTATTTTATAGCTACCAAATATATCAAAACTTTATAGTTCAGGTTTTGTTGTTGTTTTTCAGAGAGAGAGAGAATGAGAACGCATGGGGGGGAGTTGGGGTAGGGGCAAAGGGAGGGGGGAGAGAGAATCTTTTTTTTTTTTTTTTTTTTTTTTTTGGAGAGAGAATCTTAAGCAGGTCCACACCAGGCACAGGGCCCCATATGGGGGCTTGACCTTGCCACCTGAGATCATGACCCTCAGCTAAAATCAAGAGTTGGACACTTAACCAACCAAGCCACCCAGCCACTGAATTACAGATGCCCCTGTAATTCAGATATTTGTATACCAAAGCAAAACCAAATATGAAAAAATTAATGGATCTGCTTCCATAAAATTTTAAGTTTACTGAACAGAAAAAAAAAGCACTTAAAAGTGATAAACTAGAAATTTATATATAAAATATTACAAGTTTAAGAACATTAATAAAAAATAAGACAAAGATGAATATTGACATAAAAAAGGATTTATCTTCTCAATTAAAAACTGAATATAAAAACAAAATCTTGTATCTATGAAAATGAGTTTTTAAAATGATATTATTCGGTATGTACATGCTAATATGTAGCCCTTCCTTGTGTAAGTGTATAACAAATCCTTAAAAGAGTCTAAGACAGTTTAGCAATTCACACTTATTCATTCAAAGGAAATAATTAAGAATGCAAATAAAATATCTATGGTATTGCCCTAGATGTTGAATAAAAGGGACATTAGTTAAATAAGATATACCTATGAAACTATGCAGTCATTAAAGGATGCTGTAGAATAGGATTTATTGATGTGAAAAGATGTTTATAGTATATTTACAGTATACTGTTACGGAAAATAACAAGTTGCAATACTATATTATACAATATGGTCCTATACTGCATATCTAGAAGAATATTTATCAAAGTAATAAATATGAGATATTTAATTATTTTTGATTCTCTTTATTTTCTAATTATTCTGTAATAAACAATTATTTTAATGTAGCGAGGAATAAGAAAAGACATAAAAGATAAAAATACAAAAAAATGCTTTCGGTCAAAAAGTAGTGATAAGGGATTTAATTCAACTGTTGGCCCTAGTAAGGCGTCAAATGTGGCTAAACTGATTTGTAGTAAAAACAAGATATTAGGAGAATATTTAAATGATGAGGACCACTTTCAGGTATTTTACAGTCACATTTGCATAATAATCATCTGACAATTACACTTCTGCCTGTGTATTCCTGAAAACAGTATTGACAACGTTCAACTTTCAGCAGTTGCTCCATCTGACTTGCATTTACATTATGTTTTGTCTACAGATTCAAAATTAGAGTCCAGGAACCAGTTCTTAGAAGCAATATCTCGAAGCTGCACTGAATGGTTGTCAATTTGATCTCTTGACCATTGGCAGGTCATATAGTTTACGCATAGCACACACTCTACTTGTAGAGTTATGATAATGACAATGAAGACATAATCTTTTTAAAAAGGTTGGCTGGCAACACCAAGTGGCAGTGGCTAGCATGTATCACTGTACAGTCTCTCACAGCATTAACTGTCATTCCTTTTCTAATTGATAGAGGCAAGCCAGAAAACTTCAACTTCATAGAGAATTTTAGAGCTTTCTGCAAAATTTTTCAGAGATGATTTAGAGTAACCTCTTAATCTCATAAATATGGAAGTTTAGGCCCAGAGAATAAATAAGTGAAGAGCCAAACCAGAACCAGGTATCTTGCCTCTCAGCCTAGTCTACTTTCCACCCTCGACTACTACTTACACCGAACACTGGGTTCTGCTTTAAAAAGTAACTATTGGACCCCCAGATCATTGAAAAAAAGCAACATCAATGTTTATACAGACCTTGCATCTGGTAGCTGTATGGTGCCTGTCCAGGTTGAGGGGTACCAAAGCTTGTGCCATAGCTGAGAAATCCCGTCTGTCCAGGTGACTGAGACTGCGACAATCCGCCTTCAGTCTTGATGCCTGCCCACAATGCACCTAAATCAGTTAGTGATAGCTTATCTATCTGTTCATCTCAGAAGCTGGTCAATATACAAAAACACTCCCACAACTGTTGGGTCACAAGTGCTTCCCAGTATTATCCCAAGAATCAAAGGTAAACAAGCTTGGAGTAGAATATCCTCAATTAGAGCTTCAATTAAAAACAAACAAACAAACAGGAATATTATAGTCTTGAGTGACTATTCACATTGTCCTTTCCCGTTTTTCTGATTTACATTTTCTACAAACTTTAACTTCTAGGATATCATTTCTATATTTAGTTTTGTTTTATAAGAGGTTAAAAGACCATCTCCTTCATAGTCCAGAAATAGTCATTAATTACACTTTAGATTATTCTCAAAGTTGTTGATTATTGTCAAAATCAAAATTCTGTTTTCTAAAAAGAGATGAATTAGAGTCTCTAGCGTCACAGCATTTTTTCCCCTCTGTTTTTTCCTTATTCTTCCTGCCCAAAGCTGATGTTAACACACAATTCATTTTGAAGTCAGAGGAAGCATTATTGGACATGGAAGTAAGCAACTGAGGGGAAAACCTCCTCCCAAATACCCAGATCCCACCAGAATGTAAGCACAAAGAAAGGAGAATATTAAAGAACTGAATCTGGTTGGGCAGCATAGTCATCTATAAACAAGTGAAGCTGACCAGTAGTTCCCTTTTGTCCCTTATAGTTTCAAGTATTTATTCCAACTTTATCGTTTTAAGTGTAGCCTAAAGAACACTTTACATCATCATCATGATATAAAAATAAGGTGTTTGTGGCCCATTAAGACTTTCCAAAGCACCAGGTTGACAGCTGAATTTCAGGACTTGGGTTTGGCAGTATTGTGTGGGGTTCAGCAGTGGATTATAATTAAAGACAGTCATGAAAGTTCACAACAGTCCTTAATTTCCACAGAAGGAAGGGAGAAAAATGTCTGCCAAGTGAATTCACATGTTTGAATAATTTTACTTTGCACTTCAGATAAATAATATCTCTGGGATCTAGAATACACAGTAGGCGCGCTGTTTATTTCCATTTTAGGGGAATTTCATCAGTAGAATGAAGTTAGGTAACTTGCCTAAGGCAGTGGAAGAATCTGACTCTTGGCCGAGAGAGGCTACGATAATTCCTGGAGTATCTCTAAATAACCTCGTAATGACCTTAACAGTTAAGTCTTAACATAACCTTAACATTAAAAAAAAAAAAAAAATGTGATTTCTCCCTGTACAGGCAATCCCAAACCAATAAATAACCCATACTTATAAATGGTCCCTGTAAAACCACCTGCCTAGGCAGGTGGTTTCTTGGCTCTAGAAACTCCTTTTCTTTCCTGTTTCCTCATCACTAACAGGGACTTCCCCCCTCTCTATTTGAGACTCTATTATCCAGTCTTCACTTGTACCACCTCTGGTTTGGGCCTGGAGGTTCAATCTCTGTGATAAGAGCAGATAAGGAAAAGTAAGCAGAGGCAGAAAACCTCATCTACACCTACTTAGAGAACTTCCACCCAACTAGTCAGCAAACTCATGGGTCAGCTCCATGCAGATCCAGAGAAATGCAGTTCTTTTTCCCCCACTGATACTATTGTTCACACGAAAAAATTTGCCTATCTTTTCTCACTGGTCTAAGCAAAAAGTCAGGGAGCATAAATCTCTGAAGAGGGTCCTCTTAGATCTATTAGACCTTGACTCTCAGTCATAAAAAAAACAAAACAAAACCCTAAACTATGTGTTTTTCCTTCATAAGCAAGCAGAGGGGAGCAGGCAGTCATTTTTCAATGCACTGGCCTAAGAAAAACAGAATGCCTATTCCAAAGCACTAGGGGCATCTCTCTGTACTCAAGGCCCAGAAAGAGAAGAAAGAAAGAGATTGGGAAAATACTAAAGTATCAGAATCATTCCCAGGAAATTTATAAGCACAGACGGCCCTGGGGTCAAACCCCTTGACCTGGAGCCATGCTCTTACAGTCTCTCCTGTCCTATCACATTAAAATACCCATCCTCACTCTACTAGTTATTTGAGGTCTGAATCTCGGAACCTATGCTCATCTTACTCTCCCAGAACAATTATTGCAGACAACAGGGACATCCACTAATGGTTCAGAACTGGAACAGTCCTAGACCACAGGCAAGAAAGAGGCAAAGGAACCTACCATGACTCGATGGGGAGAAGAAAGAACAAGAGAGGAGTCTCATGAGTGGCAGCCAAGGCAGTGACATGAAAGGCACCTTCCCGTGGCAGCACTGGTAGGTCTAAAGTACTTTAAGTACGGTACTTTAGTAAAGACACTTTTACACTTCAAATACTCAGCTTACAAATAACATTTTGAGAATATAAATTGGGGACTGCCTCAACACATGTTATAAAGTTGAAGGTATGCAATTCAAATCAGAGATCCTTTTTCCCTCTTTTAGAACAAGAATTGTTTAAAAGCACATTGAGGATAAAATTGATCTGTATTTAATATTTCCAAAAATCTTGAGTAAAAGTTATGGAAATGAAAGATAATTCCAGGAAGTCCATTTTATGGCTGTTTCTAAAATCTGACTTTAAAATGCCTAGTTAATAAATAAACAAACAAGCTTTAAATAAAAATAAATTTTAAAAAATGCCTACTTAGATAATATTCAGTTCTGGATAGTTTTGAAATGAAACTCTAAAGGATAAAATCATATAATTCACATATATTTCCTAAAAAATTTTATATAGTTGATTTGGTTTGGGGTAGAGATAGAGAATAAAAAGGAATAAAGTAATTTACCTTCTAATTATTGATGTTTAAGTGCTTATTTCTTTCAATATACTGCTATAAACACAGAATTACTTAATTTACTAGTCCTTTCCTTTACACTTCCATGTACTTTTTCTGGATCACTCGATTTTTTTCAAGGACATGCTAGTAATTCATATTTTTTTCTATTCAAAGTGCAATTTGCTTAAAATTACAACTTCAATTGAAGAAAAGAGGTCTTGAAATTCTAAGATTTCTTAAACTTGGGGGTCTTGCCAGATTTATTTTTAACTTACAGGTATTGATCCCTTAACAATTGAGTTAACTCACGCCTAGATCAAGATAATCTCCAGCTAGGAAGGAACAAATAGGGATGTGAGCTTTTAAACATTTCCTGCTTTGCCTCTTTAAAGCACAGCCCAAGCTGTAATATATAGATCACTTTTCCTAAGGGCTGATACTGCTGAAATTTGAAAGCACTACCACCCTCAAGTTCACAGCAAGGGCTTGTTGAATTCTGTTTGTACTCCCCTAATCATAGGTAGACATCTGATAAATAGGAAATGAATCTTTACCCCAAAAGACTTCATTCACTGGAGTTTTATCGCAAATATGCAACCCAAATACTTTGGATTCCAGAACCAAGTGCTTGAGTGGCAACTTAAAAGTTGAGCTATAAATGGGAAAAAATAAAAATGAGAGCAAGAGGGCATATGAACTGTGCCATCTATATGCCACCGCTGACCTTAAGATAAATAGCCACCACTTCTTACAAGATTCATTCAAAACAGGCGTATGAAGAATTTAGACCCAAAAAGTGGGAATGCTCTCTAAAAAAGTGGCCCAAGATGATGTTCGTTAGGTACCAGTCCTCTGAAACATGCGCGCACACATACAGGGATGCCCGTCCAATCCCACTACAGAGGGAAGAGGATTACTCACCATATGAGGAAATTCCATACGGCTGTCCCGGCTGTGGGTACGTGGCATACGCTGTAGCTTGTTGCATTCCTGTGGTAAACTGTGTTTGCCCATATGCAGCCATAGTTTGTGAGGAAGGGGTAGGGAGAATATGTGGGTATGGTCTGCTATTTGTCAGAAATGACAGAAAATAGAAAGCCCATGCATTAGATGGAAACATGCAAGGTAACGGATGAACAACCACATCACAAATTGCAGCTAAAGACTGTCTCTTAAAGTATGACTTTCAAATAGAATATACAAAATACTGAAATACTTCAGTAGATCTTCTAGGTGACCCTCAAAATACTTCCATGTAAACACACTGAAGTCTCTATGAAAGGCACTTTAGTTTAAATTAAGACATTACACGTGGGCACAAAACATGACTTGAAGTAAGGTAAAAAGACTACTCTAAAAAGTCATTTATTAAGAGAAAATACATCTTACTTGGAAGGATAAATCTGTGGTGGGGAGAACTGGTGAGTTGGTCTTGGGCTGAAGCTACTGCTCCCAATGGCTGGAAAAAAAATAATGCACGATAATCACAGCAAAATACAAAATATGTGTAAAGCGTTGATCTGTTTTGAACTATAGGTAGACCACATGAAATTGCAGACATTCGCCCTTTTTGGACTGAAAAAAAAATGCTTTACCTCAGAGAAAGTTAAAATATATTGAACAATCTATGGGAACTCATGAAGGGGTTCAAATTGTAAATTAACTGTTAGAGAGAGATGCCCTCATCTGCGATACCCGCCAGCTGCAGTCCTGGTGACTGGAAGGATCTGGTCAAAGGGGAGGGAGGAGGGTAAATCTGCAGGGCTGGGCAGGACCCAAAAGGTCACCTGGCCTATTATGTGTGCTCGGGAACACACACACCTGAGACTGGATTACAGAGCAACACAGTCTAATCTGCTCTCAGGTGAGTACAAATAGGGCCAATCCTCATTTGTCTGCATTGATTTAGCAACATTTTTTTTTTTTTAAGTAAAAATGCATTCCTATAGCTCACTTAAATTTCTCAGGTTGCAAGCTAAGCCTGTTTTTTCTTGTGCTGAAGCGATGTTCCTGTGCCTTTCAATTCAACATGCTCAACTTTGGTTATTCAAGTAAAAAAAGGTGTTTTTTTTTGTTTTTGTTTTGTTTTGTTTTTTGTTTAACGATGTTATTTAAGCATTCAAGCAGAATTTCATTTCTTTTTAATCACATATACTTCATTCAATAGGTCTCAGAAAATGCACTAAACTCTATCATTCTTTTACACTCATTCTGAACTAAAGCAAACAACCATTTTTGTTAACATAAGGCATTAAAATGGTAGTTCTCAGATTTATTATAAATAGGGGCTATTTTATGTGCATATACATTACACACATTTGCATTTATAGATTTATATATACATACAGCTATACATGTTTCTATATATTACATATAAATATATATAAAACACACATAAAAAGATAGTACACACACACACACACACACACACACACACACACACACATTTTCCTCCATCAGGTTCTTCCTATCCTCCATCTAGCTAAAAATGCATATTCTTTAGGTACAATTACAAGATGAAATATGTTTATTTTCTTCTTCCACTAATAATCATGGTCTTCAGAGGCTCTATGACTAACTATACTGTATATTAAAATCCTTATATATGGTTCCATGCACTCAAAGTTTTATACATTTTTCATGATGTCACATCAGTACCTTTATACTTCTCAAATTTAATTTTCCATTTGTGTTTGGGAGAAGAGAGGTAGAGTTGGACCAGAACCTCAATCTATGAGTAATCCTTTCCTCGTAAAACACACAGGCCTAACCCAGTGACAGCAGAATAGATCTAGATTAGGACTACTCTTGCATGCAAGCTGCCAGACTTCCACCATGTGGCTCTCAGTTTGGCAGAGCTGGGGGCTACATTAAAGCCATGGCAGGCCAGCTCAGCTGGTGTCCCCCCATCTGCAGGCATATGTTGAGTCACTGCTCTGTACCAGGCATTGAGTTAGATGCCGTAGATGCAAACATGCAAAGACAAATTCTGCTTGTCACATGTGGGGAGGCCGACACACAAATAGCCATGAGAGGATTAGTTTAAATATTGCAATTTATAAAAGGGAGGGATTAGAGAGCAAAGACTACCACTTGCCCAGGTCACCCATAACTACAACCTTTCCTACTTCCCTTTTCTAAGCCTGAGAAGAGACCAAGGGCAAAGTAGATTTATCCAGCAGAGTAACTGGGAAGAATGATACCTTCCCTGGACAATCACAGTTAAAAACAAGTTTTAAAAAAATAAAACCAGAACAAAAACCCAATACAACCTCATGATATGAAGCCACAGAAATCCCTTTTATTCTTTTCCAGCTCTATCACTGGGCTTTTCAAATTGTGGGTTGGGACCCATGAAAACATCATAAACTCAACCTCACAGGTTACACCCAGCAATTTTTTTTTTTTTTAACAAACAGAATAACAGAATAGTACACAGCAGGGCTATTACCACATGGTAAGGTAAGTTGTGTGAAGCTTGAAGATTATTTGCATAGTATAAGTGTGTACACATAAAGCGATCTGGGAGGTTGCAGAGTGTGGTAATGCAGCACAGGTTTTGAAATCAGAATTTCAGCTCAGACTGAAGTTCCAACTCCTCTATTGGCTTGGTCAAGTTACCCGGTCCCTCTAGGCCTTGCTATGTTCCCCTGTATGATGGCAATGATACTACTTACACCTCCCAGGATTGTCTGAGGACTAAATGGGAGCATTGGCCAACAGTGCAATGTGTAGTAAGTGTTAATTAGCTCAGATCTCCAGATTCCCACTATCTTTGCCCCCCACCCCCTGCCCATTTGCCCTTCCTTCTGTACTTTTACTTCTACTCAATGGACAGCATCACCAACTGTCCAGCAAAATACTTAAAAGCAGGATTCTTTGTTCCCATTTGACATATGGGGCATAGAAAGTAACACATCCAAACAAACCAATGGGAAAGCTACTGTTTGAACCCACATCTGTCCGACTCTTTCCACCAAAGTATCCTATCTCCTGACCTCCTACACAAAAACTAAAAACCTCAAAATCATCTCCTTCTCCTCCATTTCATGAGTCTCAAGTCACCTGTCTCAAACCCAGATATTGCTTGTCAAGGTGTCCTACGTACTCCATCCCTGCTCCCCTACCCTGGCTCAGGCTCTAATTAACCTCAGCCAGGTCTGCTGCCCTCCACCCATCACCCTCAACACACTACTGCTACTACGGTGATCTTTCTTAAATAGAAACTTCATGCCTATTCTCCAACTTATGTCTCTCGACTGTGCTCACATTATTCCTAGGAAAAACTCCAAATTTCTTGGCAGAGTACCCAAAGAGATGTAAGCATCCACCCTCCCCTGGGTTTACTAATCTGTAGCCTCCTTAGACTTGAGGAACACCCATACGTGCCCACTGGCTCTTCATACCAGACCCTCTGCCTAGGGAGGCCTCCTTATACTTTCTTTCCCCACCTTGTAAACACTTCCTCCTCTGTTGGGACTAAAATATCATTTTCTCTTTAGGATGTCTTCCTTCTCTGTACTTTCTTGGGAGTGTTGTGAGCATTGGCAATGTAGTGCTTAAACACATTGCATTTACTTAGCATGTATAGGGTATAGATGTTTCCTCTGCTAACCATGAGCTTTTGGGGCCCAAGACCTCTTGTTCTCCTTTCTTTCCAGGCAACTGACTGGGCCTGGCATGTGGTAAGTAATCAATAAACAATATTAATTACAATGTGAGGGCAGCCCGGGTGGCTCAGTGGTTTAGCGCCACTGCCTTTAGCCCAGGGCCTGATCCTGGAGTCTCGGGATCGAGTCTCACCATCAGGCTTCCTGCATGGAGCCAGCTTCTCCCTCTGCCTTTCTCTGTGTGTGTGTCTCTCATGAATAAATATATAAAATCTTTTTTTAATATGTTTTTTAAAATTTTTATTTATTTATGATAGTCACAGAGAGAGAGAGAGAGAGAGAGAGAGAGAGAGAGAGAGAGAGAGAGAGAGAGAGAGGCGCAGAGACACAGGCCGAGGGAGAAGCAGTCTCCATGCACCGGAAGCCCGACGTGGGATTCGATACCAGGCCTCCAGGATCGCGCCCTGGGCCAAAGGCAGGCGCTAAACCGCTGCGCCACCCAGGGATCCCCAAATAAATAAAATCTTTAAAAAAAATTACAATGTGAGATTTAGGTTGTAAGCAAAGTAGATTTTTTTTTTTTTCAAACTCATGGTATGAAGGATGGTTACATTATTCTAAGCCACATGTAAACATACATAATAAACCTGATTCAGGTCTTTGGCAATATAATTGGGAATGAAGAGTATTCTTTATAAAATACATGTGACTAAGAACCCACGATGCTGCCCTAAGTATCTTGCTACTAATTACTTATGTGCCTCTAAGATGATTAAGTATTTAATGCTATGTAATAAGCATTATATAATAATGCTTAAAATAAGCTATATAATAAGCATGTATCTTTTGGGATTTCCCTAAATCCAAACCCCTACAATTTTTTTTGTGGCCTAAAGTCAAAAATCTTGCATCTCATACCTGAAGTCCTTCTCCTCTTAATTCCTTAAAACACCTTTATCTTTTTTGAGCAATAATTTAGGAATTCAGATTAATTTTAATTTCATGACACAAGAATACCCTAAAGCAAAAAGAATGCTCACAGACTTCATCACTCATCAAGGTAAATAAAATGGTCATTTTACCATTAGGAAACTCCAAATTACATATACCAGAGCCTTGGGAACATATGGGCACCTGATACCTCACTGTTTTAGCACATTTGTTTCCTATTATTCCATTCTTTCTCATACTTCTAACATAGATATTAAAGCAGCTCCTCAATCTTGTTGTAGGGAGGGCAAGACCCAAGCTTGAGAATCTACTGAGAAGGTCAATAGAAGTCCCCAAACTAGTAGGTCCTCAGTTCACACTTCCTATCTCCTTAATCTCAATATCACTCCTCAGTTGAACAAATGAGTCGAAAGCCTCAAAGTTTTGACTCTTTTCTTTCCTTGTACTATTTTATTACAAATTTAGCCAGCTCTCCTTCCAGAATATGTCCTAGACCTGACATCTTCTCATTGCTCTCATTTTCCCCTCTGTTCCAATCGTCAATGTGGTGCCCACCAGAGGATGGCAGTCAGGACATCCCCGACCTTGCCCTCCTTCCTTCTCTCCTCCACTCTTTTCTCCTAAGGGAATCCTGGAACATTTAATCCTGCCTCAGTGGCTCTTCTGGGAAGTACGTGGGCTCACACAGTCCTTTCTCTTCTGAACCAGGGCAATACTGGTCTCCCTGTATCTATTTACCCTCTTCCCTACTCTTCTCCCATAAAGCATCCTCCATACAACAAATGGTGATCTCTTAAAAAAAAAAAAGTAAATCATGTCACAACTGCCCCAACCTCCAAGCCCCATTATCCTCTGGTTACATTTAAATGAACCCAAACTTAAAAACAAATAAATACAT